ATATACCTTTTTATTTTCTTAACACATGGGAAATAACTTTTAAGTGGTTGTTCTAAAAAGGCATGGTTAAGCAATATTCTTTGTTTGGCCTCGGATAATTCCAACTCCTGAATAAATCAAGTACCGAAATGAAAATTAGCTATATTAATTAATAGTAAATAATAAAACAGCTTTGCAGATTAAACTTGCAATCCTATTTAATAAATAATTTGATATAATGAGAGATATATGCTGATGCCAGCAGTGCCTGTTGAAACAAGACATAGTCAAGCTATGAAAAACAGGCATTATTCACTAAATAGCTGCCTGAAAGAAGAAGGTAATAAATCCTTTGACTTGAAGAACTTTAAGCACGTATCACACTTTTTAAATTGTGGCTGGCCAAATGAAATGATCTGAACCATCTCTCTGACAGTTCAACATTTTGTTCTTGAGTATACCCAGCTATTTCTGAATACATCCAAATTTCAGCCACTTATTTTTTAAGCTACCAAGCTTTCAATTCACATGACACTCTCCCATATTTACATTTTAAATATTAAAGTTTGAATTTCTTGATTTACTTTTTATTTATTGATAATTTATGTGGACACACTATAGCAGTGGTGGCGAACCTGTGGCACGCGTGCCAGAGGCAGCGTGCAGAGCCCTCTCTGTGGGCACACGTGCCGTCACCCCAGCCCTGCCTCCCCCTCCACACCAGCAGCCCCCCCAGAGGACAGTCGCCCCCAGGCGTGGCCCGCACGGAATAGCGCAGCCAAGGACATTGCAGCTGGGCAGCAGGGACAAGACTCCGCCCCCGCACCCCATCGTGCACAGATAATGCTGTATGGAACAGGCAGAGAGTGTGGCTGCCATGGCGCTGCAGGGCCACCTGGGCAATCTGCTGTGGCGGGCCATGGAGATGGTAGGTGGCCCTGTGGGTGAGCAGGGGGTGGGGCAGGGCAGGGGTGGGATGGGATGGGCAGGGCAGGGTGGGGGCAGGGTGGGCAGGGCAGAGTAGGGGCAGGGGGCAAGGCAGTTTTTGGGCACTCGGTATCTAAAAGGTTTGCCATCACTGCACTATAGCATGCATTCAGAATCCTTTTGTCCTTCATCTTGTTCCTAACAGTTATTTCTATTGCACTGCTGTTTATGGCACACTCTTTTTTTTATGGGGACTCCCAGATATATAAAAACTGTTATCCTCAATGAAATGTGTAATTTGTCTGTACAAGTTACAATTGGACTTACCCCATAAACCCGTAAAACTTCTGGAGTCTAATATCACACTGAAAATAAAATGCTGTGAGACTCCTCCTTCTCCCTCAGCAATGCCCTGCCATTTTAATTCCGCCCCCCCCCCCCAAGATCTATTTCTCTATCTTTAGGGCTGGCATTTACATTTTCTCTCCCACTCCCATTGCAAAACATTTCCCCACTGCAAAATACTAACATCTCCAATTTCAACTGCAGAAGTACTCTTAGTCATTCACAACTTCCCCATTCAAAGATGAAATTACTACATGTATTTGTCTATTGTATGACTCTATGTATATGAAAAACAGAACAAAAATGCAGTTCAAATACTTCAACCTTCATCGTCAGTGTATTAGTCAAAACTGAGTCCCACAAAATACTTTTAAAGCAACATTAAAAATGTTGGGATTTTTTTTTCTTCGTAGTGTTTTTCCACAAATGCATGATCTACTTTTTTTTAGATCAACCAAGTGTTGATCCATTGGTTGTGACAGAAACTGTTCGACTGGCTTGTCTCACCCAAGCCTCATGTCATGGGCTGAGAGAGAGAGTGACTGGCCTAAAATCACCCAACTGGCTTTCTTGTCTAAGAACTCATAGTCTCCTGCTTTCTAGTCTGGTGCCTTAACCATTAGAACAGAACAGACCAAACTGGGCTGTTACGGAACTTCTTATATAGCTCTTGATACTTATATACTGTATTACTGTATCCTTAATATTAAGGATATTAAGCCCAGTAATATGTAAGAAAAAAGATTACAAACACATTCCAAGATTCCTTGATCATAATTTACTTATAATCAATAAGTAGATTATATAATGTACTTATACTTTATAATATACTCTAGTATACTTATTTCTTAGGAGCAGACTAATTATATCCTTGAGATATAACTGCATAGTCTGCTTGTTCCAGTGTCTGATTTTACTGAGATTTTCTCGTTGGCCTTATGAGAGGTCATAAGATACAATTCTGTACAGTCATTTAAAATGCAGGTTGGTCTTCTTTCCTCTTTCGGCAAGACCCAGTCCTACCACTACCTAGTATATAAGATAGAATGAATAGCCTGCTTTGTTTTTCAGATTTGTACAACACATGAGGTTTGGGGGGGGGGCAAATTTGATCAAATATGTTAAACAAACAAATAAGTAAACTGGAAACAAACATGTGCTTGTCAGTTTGTTTTCCCACTTTGATGATATCTGTCCCACCACCAGTACTTCACAGAAGTGTATCAGTCAAGCCAAGAGAGTCAGTTTCACATAGTGAAGAATTCCCCAACCTTTTTGGCATTGTGGATTGGTGGGGGAGGGGAGAGGGGATGGTTCCGTGTGAGCAGCAGGCACGCGTGTGTGCACAGCTCTATTTGCACAAATGGAACATGTGAGTTCTCACCCACCACTTCCGCAACCTGGTTTCGAAAGGCTCAAGGCCCAATAATGGACTGTAGCCCAAGAGTTGGGGACCCCTGACATAATGGATAATAATGTCCTGGACTAGAAACTGGGAGATGGTGCACTCTAGGCATGGAAACTGGAAACATAATTTTACACCAGTCAGTCTATCTCAGCCAACCCAACCCCGGGAGCATTGTATACGCTGCCTTATACAAAACAGAAACAGAATCTAAATCTAATAAATAAATAATAATTTCTGGGGGGAAATAGGAATCAAGAGATTCAGGAAAATGTAGGAAAAGTATTTCAGCTATGCTGATCAGTGAAGAAGTGAAGCCATTTCTGAAAAATAAGCAATTTCAATAGTTGTCTTGTGAATTATTAAGAGTTTTTTTTTCATGTACCTGTGCCTTTACTATTTACTTTCTTCACTTTTTGGCTATTATTAGTTCTGCTGGCACCCAAATAAGGTCTGACTCTTGCTCAAATGGCGTGACAAATCTATGTCTTTGCAGGAAACTGTGGGGCAAACTTAAACAGCCTTTGAACAAATTTATATTGATGTTTAATGACTGTTAATTCAAAGGAAGAGTAGCATTTGTCATGCAAATAAGCATTTTCAGTTGCATGGCAAACTCCACTGAAGCAAGACTGCTTTAGAACAAAGGCAAGAAACTGCTCTGGTGCAGGGCTTTGAAAACCCTAATAAACATTCAGATTACATCTGATCACTGAGATATAACAAACTTAGATGTGCTCTAGGACAAGAAATAGTGAGTAGCAGATGTGGGGGGGGGAGATAAATTCTTGAAAAGAAATAAAGTGTTGCAACCTGATAGAGTCAAAACACTAATTTATTGTACTTTGAATGATTGCTCTAACTAAGCCTTAGCAAGGGATAGAACCTGGCTGATCTAGTCTGCTCTTGGAAGCTAAGGATATGTACTTGAATGAGAGACCAAAGGGAATCCCAGGGCTGTAGGCTGGAGTATAAGTAAAAAAAAATAATAATAATCCTGGAATTGGGCACAAGCAGCCACTTCTGTATGTTGCCTAGATGTATGTAGGTTCCATGGGGGAACCAAACTTGACACAAAAGACATTTTATTTACTTTTATTTTATTTTATTTTATTTTATTGATTGAGGCACCTCAGAGATGAGATTGCTCTTAATAGTATATATTAAGTACTTTAAAAATAATGAATAATAATGCTGTCTACTTCATTGTTCGCTTTTATGCAGAATAGATATGTGAGCTGCTTCTTTAAACTGTTCAGTGACAGGTAGAGAAACTAAAAATTGAAAGCAGCTGTTCCCAATATAATCCCATAGATCTATTGTAGAACATAAGTTGGACCACAGAAGTGAATGAAAGAGCATGGCTAACTACTAATCCATCTTTCCTCCACCTGTTAAACCATGAACTTTCTCCCTGATTCCTTGCCAGGACCGGCTTCTTTAAAGAAGTCAGGAAAGCTGGATTTCTGCAGTGCCCTGTCCTCCCACACCACCTCCCCGAGAATGGCTTTCACCCACCACCCGCTGCCTGTCCTAGCAGGAGTCAGACCAGGTGAGAACGAAGCCATTTTCTTAGGGGAGGGAATGGGTGGATTGTGGGCAAGATGGGAGGCAAGGGACAAAGCTGTCTCCTTGGTAGGGCATGTCAGTACATTCAACCACCTCGGTTCTGGCAATAGTCTTTTGCTGTCTCTTTTTCTCTCTTTCATTTCCTCTGTCTTTTGTTCCCCTGCTTTCTTTTTTCTTTGCCAAGTTGGCTTAACTGATTGATTGCAAATTGCATTCTCAAGAATTTATCCTTAAGATGACATATAAAGAGTAAGGTTTTGATAAATCAAATTAATTTGAAAGTCACGGCACCAAGTTTGAATTGATAGCAATTCATAGATGGACCGAGATCCAGTTTAATACATGACAGCTTCAAATGCTCATTTGAAAATGCTTTGGAAAAGGAGGCTTCAGAATGAATGGACATCTATATTTAAACATTTAGTTTAAAAAACTAGGATATTTAAAAGTTGCATCTAAGAAAGGCCAATCTAACCTATAGATCAAGGGTCCCCAACCCCCGGTCTGTGGACCAGTACCGGGCTGCAGATGCCAGCAACTGGGCGCACAAACAAGCAAAGCCCCATCAGTGAAACAGCTTGCCTCCAGAAATCGTGGGCGCTCCATCACTGGAGATTTTTAAGAAGAGACTAGACAGTCACTTGTCTGACATGGTATAGGTTCTCCTGCTTTGAGCAGGGGGCTGGACTAGAAGACCTCCAAGATCCCTTACAGCTCCATTCTATTCTATCTACGAGATGCAGGCAGCACACAAAACCACGCACCCTCTGATCCGCGGAAAAATCTCTTTCCACAGAACCGGTCCTTGGTGCCCAAAAGGTTGGGGATCTCTGCTGTTGACTACATTGATACATTGAGAGTTATATGTCAGATTTCTAATGACTTATCGTTTCAAAGTGAAATATTTATCCTTGCTTCTCTGAGGTGTGCTTGAAATTGAAGTAGAACCCTTAAGCCCCATGAAAGTGAAAATGACAAATGTATTTTCAGTACATTTCTTAAAATCTTTTGAAAGTCTGTATTTCAATCTATTTTGAGAGTCTGTTTGGAGTCTGAATGGCTACACTTCTTTCACTTCTAAAATTATTTTTTATTATTTTTATTTTTGTTATTTATATGCTGCCCTTCCAAGTCACTTTCACAGGATGGTCTTGTAATGAAAATAGAAATAAAATACTACAACAAAAGTAATGAAATGCATACCATAAAATAACAGCATTAAAATGAAAAACAGCAGATGGGAAAATGTAATGAAATCCGATCATTGGAGAAAAAAATACCATTTAAAATGCTTAGGGTTTTAAAAGATCTTCCCTGGCATTAAAATCCCATCAGAGCAGGCAGAGAGCCATAGGATGTCAAAAATACCAAGATGCCAGCACAGAAAAGACACTAGATTTGTCTTCTATCTATCATTTTTTTGTGCCAGTGAATTATCCAAAGAAAGACCTTTAAAGATTTCTTCATTGTACAGATAGGGTCATAAGGAAATAGTCATTTAAAAAATAAATGCAATAATTTCTTGAAGAAGAGAGGAAAGGAAGGGATCCCTGAGGATTTTACTCCACTAGTCATAACCAACTATAGGGGGCAGGTTCATCTCCTTTTCAAGGGCCAGATTATCCAAAGACATTTCCATGGTCATTTGGTCAGCGTGATGTCACAAAGCCCTGTTTCCTCCCCACCGAAGTGGTACTTATGTATCTACTCCCATTTGCATGCTTTCAAACTGCTAGGTGGGCAGCAGCTGGGGCAAGAACAGGAGCTCACCCCATCGCATGACACTTGGGTCTCAAACCCAACACTTAACCGCTGAGCCATCACACCACTCCCAATTTCTTAAAGTTTTTGAAGACCAGGCTATCATTTGCATCATCTTTTCCTTGTTTAGGTCATGGCATATGCAGCCTTCAGCCAAGGCATTTAAAGTCTGTGCGCTTAGATTAAATGAACAGAGAATCTGTTTAGGTGTTATTTATAAATTCCTATGACTGCTGTTTAGGAAGAACCATGATATGGATTTATATGCTGGAGGTATTTAGTTATATTTCTTGTAACCGACCATAAGCATAATGTTTGAAGCTTAGGGATACTGCCACAGTTTTTGGTGTTTGGCTTTCCTTAGGATGATGTTGTGGTTTCTGATTAATAGTGACTTTATATCACTTACAATGATGTTGTACTGCATTGTCAGATGTTTTGTACAGAACTGTAGAAGTTGCACATATGTGTGCAGTAGAGGGAGGGAAGAAATAGAAGAAAGCATTTTAATTCGTGTAGCAACATATCTGATGAGGTGATTCAGGTAACAAATAGAACAAACAAGTTTAGAATACATGTCTCCAGCCTCTTATCTAGATAAGCCACTAAGCTGCATTGTCAAATGGCTTGCCCTGAAGCATCAAACAGGTTTTGTAAACAGATTATTAATATTTTAAATATCAGTAGTCTGAACAGTACCTTGCTTGTCACTCTGTGTTTTGGATCTTGCCATGGATGGCAGTTCAAGAGGCAGTAAACTGTCAGAGAGAAGCAGGACTTATGAAGATGTTTTGTGAGAACTAGTATCAGTGGTATGTTTGGAGAGAGGTCATTACTTGCTTGAGTCTCTACCAAGTCTCCACTTGTATAGTATAATACTACTTTGGTGTTCTAACTGAAGAATTTATTGTAGCAGGACTGATTTCTCTCTTCCTTTGTCCTGTAACTTCTCAGACAGCAAGTCATAGGGTATAATAAGCAGCTTTTGAAGACATAGTCAGTACAGGACTCCAGGTAATGGGGTAAAGACTTACGTAATCTATATTACAGAAAGAGGTAAAGGCATAATATTAAAGGAAGCAGATGTACGCTAAAATAGGTCAAGTATTAGGCAAAACAAACTTTCTAACCTGCCATTTGAAGTATATATTGGATACAGTTGATCCCAAGCTTGAGTGAAAGCCATTAGCTAAAAGATACAATAATTAAACAAGTAGTCATAAAAGGTACCAAAGGTGTGGAAGGCATACATTCTACTCAGACATAGTTATAGCATAGTATAGATATCACATTTCAAAAGCCTTTACAGGTAGTCCTCGACTTACAACAGTTCAGCCAGATCCACTTAACAACCATGTAACTATGGCAGGAGCCGTGGTGGCAGAGTGGTTAGAATGCAGTACTGCAGGCTAACTCTCTGCTGACTGCCAGGAGTTTGATCCTAACTGGCTCAAGGTTGACTCAGCTTTCCACTCTTCCGAGGTCAGTAAAATGAGGACTCAGATTGTTGGGGGCAATATACTGACTCTGTAAAGCACAGTGAAGTGGTATATGAGTCTAAGTGCTATTGCTATTACTACTAATTCAATAACTGCAGTGATTCACTTAACAACTGCGGCAAGAAAGGTGGTAAAATGGGTCAAAACTCACTTAACAAGAGTCTCACTTGGCAACAGAAATTTTGGGCTCAATTGTGTTTGTAAGTTGAGGACTACCTGTACTCATAAATTTCAGGGCTGATTTCATATTCTCTAGTTCTGTCATTAACACCTAGTTCTCAACTCATGGGAAGGTAGCTATGTGTGATGTTGTTACTGCAATACACATGAATTATTTTTAAAAAAGTTATTTGAAAGCCATTTAATTTTTAAAGTAACACAGAGAGATATATATCACAGATGGAGCTATAACTGAGATCAATAATTTTGAAAAAAAAATCTGATAGGAGGAATTTTAATATGTTACAATATATAAGGCCCAACAACTCATTGTGCAGAAGATCCACAATACCAATTTCATTTGAGACATGGAGTGATGGGAGAAGGAGCAAGATCTTCCTCTCACATCATTTTCCCAGTTAAAATTTCTTCTCTCCAACTGTTTATCTTTTTTTCTCTCTTGTAAGAACAAAGAGCAGACAGTGATACATATATTTTAATTGGATTATAGACCTCCTTCCCTGGTGCTGAAATTCATTTGAAAAAGAAAGTCTTTTTTATTTTTGGAAAGTGAAGCATCTTTTTTATAATATGTGATTTGGCCTTGCAGATGTAATCTGATGAATTTACCCGTGCAAAGAATTGCCCAACAAATACACTTTGCTTTTGCAGCCCTGCAGTTATCATCTCTAAAAATGACAAAACAGTTTGTTCAAATCTCTGGATTTCCCTTACAACTATTTACTCAGTCAGCTAGTCCAAGAACAGCAAATTGGAAATTGGCTTGGGGTGTCTAAATCAGTGAAAGAATTACAGCTCATTCCCCTTTTCTGTATGCTTAATTTCTTACCTTCCTTCTAGCTGCCCAGTATGGCCTATATTTCAGTGTTACGAATATCTGCTCTGCTTCCTTATTCCCTATTCCAATTTCCACCATCTGCCTAGTGTATGATTCTGTGTAAGAGGAACTTCAGCCACATACAGTAGGAGAGAGTCAATCCCCCGTCCACAACAGCTGGTTTCTTGGCTCATTTCCCTTGTCCTTTCCATTCTACAATGTGCCAATAATTCCCAAAGAGAGGAATATGTTATGCACTTTTGCCCTTTTACACCTGGGTGACAGTTAGAAGTTATTTATTTTAATGTACATTATGCTTTATAGAACAGTTTAAGAGAAAAAGACAGATTACTAATGAATTAGAAGATGGGAGTAGAAAGCATTGAAAAGAAGAAAGAAATAGATGAGAGCATAGTAATAAGATATAAATGTAAGAAAACATAGGTATTTGTTAGGCTACCACTCTGAAGTAAAGTACATAAGAAATGAGGAAGGAGACATCAGTAAAATTTAGTAAAAATGTCAGAGGTATAAATACATGTTCAGAAGCAAATGTATACCCCATTTTTACTGCATGTATATGTGCATGATACATACATGGTTGTTGCAAATTCCAGATGTATAATGCATGCAGCTCAAACCTGCTTGCATATCTTTGCAAATGCTAATCTCTTTTGAAAAAGAGAAACTACCATTCCTTGTTGGGATTGTGACAGTCCTTAATTGAAACAGCCTTGAAAACAAGAATATGGGGATAATTTTTCAGCAGAGGCCTTGATGGTATAAGTAGCTATTGGGCTGTGGAAGCAGCATGGCATGGGGGTTGTTACTGACATCTCTCTCTGTCACTCTCTCACTCTTTTTCTTTCTGTGCTTCTCTATTTCTGTCCATCTATCCTTACACTCTCCAGGAAGCCCCCGTGCCACAGCGTCGGCCCTGCACTTCCCGTCAACCTCCATCATCCAACAGTCCAGCCCCTACTTCACACACCCGACCATCCGCTACCACCACCACCACGGCCAGGACTCGCTGAAGGAATTTGTGCAGTTTGTATGCTCGGATGGCTCAGGCCAGGGCTCTGGGCAGGTAAGAGCCTTGCACCTTAGCCCAGGGATGCCGGCCAGTCCACCAGAATCCTGCCTTACAGCCCTTTTCTGCCTCCTCTCCCTCTCTGTCTCCCTCCCAAACACTGACTGTTTGCCTGCATGCCTGCCTGTCTGCCTGCCTGCTTGCCTGCTGAAGGCATAGGGAAATATGTGGTACAGTAAGCAGTATTATCTAGTCCTTTGGGTCTGACAGAATGGGTCTTCTTTCCTTGAAAGAACTGTTTGACTGGGCTTGCTCTTGGCATCTTACCTTTACCTCAGAAATTATACTGAATTACAAGGCCCAACATTCAGACTGGGGAAAACTAACTTCAGGGCAGCCAGAATATTTTTAAAAAAGTATAGATGAGAGAGATGCAGCATATTCAAAAGAGAACTTTCTCTTCTGTTTGACCTTAATTGGGAACTGACTTTTACAGAATTGGCAGGTATAGCCCATACAGATTTTACTTTCCCTATCATCCAATTTCTCTACCCCAATTCTGTCCACACCTTTTTCCCCAATAAGTTTCTGAAGGGTTTAAAGTCTTCAGAGCTCCTGAACAAAAGAATTCCAGACAGTTGCACTGAGCACATGTTAGAATGTTTATCTTTGTGACATTTGTGAAAATGAAATGAATGGCAGGATCCAAAGATGTTAGGCTTTGTGACACTGGAAAAGAACTTACTTACTTGGAAATGAGAATTTTTCAGAACACCCTGGAGTTTTGAAGTTAGTGATCTTTAGTTATATTTTGGGGAAGAAGGAAAGAGGGAAATCAATAAATTCATGAGTAATTGATTTATAATCACTTTTGATTCCAATTTACCTAAGTAAATTAGATTGTACTTAAATATTTTTTTAATATACTCTCAATAATATGTTTGGCTCAGTTTGAGCATTCCTATTGGAAGACCACCTCCCTCCCCCCCATGACCTGATTGGTAATAATTCAAAGTTCTGATGTTATAAACAAGCACACCTCCTCAATAATCCCTTTGTATATCAGCCCATTCCAGCCTCTGTGAGCTGACAAGAGTCTTGAAAGAGAACCATTATTTATCTTTAACACCTTTCCTCCCATGTGAGATGAAAGTATTAGACCACAGTAGCTTCTATTCCTAAAGCAATTTAGTGTCAGTGGTGTACAAACCATTTAATATGGTAAGTCACCTCAAGCCTGACAAGTAGGCTGCATACAAATTACTGTAATAAATGAATAAAAAATAAATTGCAAAAATCCAGGGGAACAAGTTGATGGATCACAGTTGAAACAAAGGAATTTGTTAACGGTAGCTTCATGGGAACAGTAGCTATTGGCTCTATTTCTTTAGAGGGTAAGAAAGTCAGGAGTGGTTAAAACCTATGAGAAATTACTGTTTGCTGCTGTTTTTGTTTTATTGTAATCCATGGCCAGGATTTTTCTAAAATATTGATGCATCAGTAAGTCCTATTGCAAAATGACTTGTAGAAGTTTCCTTTTCATGGCAGTTGTTAGCCTATTGTTTCCTGATCAGTGTGATTAAAAGAACATTTATGAATTGACCCTTTTAATTAGCTTTTTTTCCTGTCCAGAATATGAATGTACTGAATTCCTGGATCCTTGATTTTTCTTTCCTTTATGTTATAGTAAAATAGTTTATTTCACTAGTCAGAAGAAGAAGAAAAAACCTAGGAAACCAGTCCTTTTACATACACGCAGATCTGAAATTTCTTATTCATAATTTGTTTGCAGTTTCATTTAACAGGATACAATGACATAAACTGAAATTTCAAACAAGCAGCTTTTTAAAAATTACTTGCCATGAAAATCCTCACTAGTGACTTTGCTGTCTAAAGTGGAAAGTTTGATTATGGTGCAAAAGAACTACAAAGTAGTTCTTAAAAAACCTTAGGAGGACAACACATAAAATACTTCAGTGAAATCTGACCAAAATATTGATGATTTTCCCATAAGAAATAAATGAATCCAAAATGGCAATTGCAGGATAATAAGCTAGTATGGAAGCAGATCGGCTGGCATTAAGTCTGAGGAGAAGAGCCTTCAGCCCTAGACAGGCCCATCTAGGCTAAAAACAATAGACTCATTACGGTTCCTTACCATGTTTTGTTGTTTACTCCAGCATAGAATATTATTCAGGATAATTATCCTGGCTTAAATATCAGTGCTCCAGGAATAAAGTAATTCCAGAGATCAAACAGTAGAGTTGTTAGTAGAACCAGATATTGATGGCTTATAGTACTTTATTGTCATTCTTAGACTTAAGTAATGATTGAATTTTGTGTTGGTTCCTGGTTTGTAAAATATTGGTCTGCCATCCAAAATCTAGATATTTCTGCTTCTGAATCCTCTGAGGACTTTGACCAATCCTGGGAAGGCAGTGATTTACAAACTGCATGAAGCCCGGGAGCAAGTAGATTGATTGATTGCAGAAAAAGCATGTGAACACATTAATTGTGGCTTCTTGGCAAAGGGAGCTATCCTCTGTTCAGGAGCTGGTAAAATCACACAAGAAGCCCCTATTTCTTGCACATGTCTATAAAGTCCTAATTATTAATGTAATATCCTTTCCATGGATTTTGCTTGCTACAGAAATCAATTAGAA